TCTTGCAGTGTTTATTTCCGCCGTCATGACAAAACACAACAAAACACACTGTTTTGTTGCAGCAATTGAAGAAACACACCGCTCCCAGAAACACGCTGCGACTTGCTCTTGGCAAGCTTCACAAATACACTGCAGAGTTGAGTCAAAATAATCAATCCTGGAAACGCGCCGCAACCCCAAAACAGTTGCGGCATTTCTTCAAAACCTGGCTTTTCCTGAGTGGCGTCTAACATTTTCATGCCAGTGTGTAGGTATGCAGGATACCCCTTGCCTCGAGATGGTCACAAGGCCTACAGGACCTAACACAGCGAGCCCAATATACAGATTAAAGACCAGTGAACACAATACCATCATATTTCCTTGGAGATCAATTTAGACCGGGGACGTCTACATGTCTGAGCTACATCATTGTTCCAAATCAAGATATAGTAAGGAATTGCTCAATCAACTTTAGGCACAAGTAGTTGAAACCTCCAGCTGATCAAAATGTCACTAATGCATCCTCCCTTCTGCTCCTCAAACACTGCCTTCAAGCTCTTGGCCAGCCTCGCACGTACAAAAGGCACACCACAGCTGAGGCTCAATTCTTGCACCTCAAGATAAACAAATCAACGGATATCAAAGGAAGAACAGCGGCCTCAAGCATTGAGAGCGGTGTACCATGCTACACCGGGCTTCTATGTGATCGATTGCTTTGCTGTTCCGACAATGCTCCCAAGTCTGAATGTCACAAGAGCATGAGCTCTGCTGTTTTCTCCAGGAGGAAGTGAGGGGTTTGTGAGCTGTTCATCAACTTCAACACCTGCACCATTCTGCAAAACCTGCAAACTTTGCAATCCTAGAACTTCGATGTGGCCAGAAATTCTGCACCCCGACGTGCATCTCTCCATGCCTCGTCTGAAAGCCCCAGTAGAGGCCACACTTGGTGCGTGGCTCGGAGGGCTCCACTGCGACGCCTGGTCGTCCGGGTCGGTGTAAGACTGGTGAAGCAAGGTCTCCGACCTTCTTTTTTGCTGGCATGTAGGCTTTTGAAGGTCCAGGATGCCAAACACATTTAGAGACTTGACAGGCAATGAAGCAATGAGACAGAAAAGGATCTTCTTTCACCCTGTTCAGTAAGAAAAGATGCATAAAGAATACTAAAACACTGGAATGGCCACAGTATGCAGTTCCTGAAGATTGAAACACTAAGAGATTTCAAGCACATAATGACAAACAATAACAAACACAACTGACAGGAGTGCCTCTCTGCGTGCCACCTCCACCTCCTCGGCCACGCCCTCGGCCCCGTCCGCGGCCACGGCCGGCCTCGGGGGCGGCGTCCTGGCGGAGCACGTACACCAGGTCATTTTGAAGGTCAACACCAGCTTTGAAGCGGGAACAGGGACCTCAGGTCAACACCAGGGACTTACTGTGGTAAGCTGTGTGCTGCCAACCTGCAGCTATGATGAACTCGAATGTGCGATATGCGAACAAACATATTCAGCATCGATTTCCGGTTGATTCAGTTTTGATCAAAACCCCTCATCTGATGCTTCGTTTGCGTTTTCTCGCCCACTAGAAACAGCACAGGAGGTCACGACTCAGATGCACCTGACCGTCCCAAATCAACGACCACCTAGCCTTCAGTGATCTTTCATGATCTTTCAATGATCCCCTTCAGGGGCTGGGCCAGGGATCCACCATCGACCTTCTCCGTTTGTTCATATCACGTTGATGTAACGGGCTATTTACGCCCCGGGTACCCTGCCGAGCAAAAGGACCCTGGGGTACGTTCAGACAGTCGCCAGCATAGGATTCCTGCTTTTGACCCCGTGGGCGTCAAGCCTGCACACTCACCGCTTCGCTTCAAGCGCGGCCCGGCTCTGTCCTCTTCGAGGCGAACGGTCACACGAACATCACCAGCGATCTCCTTGCCTGAACGGTTTTGGGATGTTTTCGGACATCATCATCCCATCCAATCGATGTGTGATTCAGTCAAAGCTGCATCTGGGAAGAGATACTCTGATCCCAAAACGAAACCAAACACGCTGAGTCAACCGATCAAACCCCTCGCCCCCCCAGATGGGGCGCCCCAAAGCCACAGCCACAAGCACCTTCGAGCCACACAGGCTCGGAGAGGCCACAATTCACCCAGCAACCTGCAATGAGGAATGCTATGGCATCGTTTCTTTCACCAGTCTGCTGGCCACATCAACGAGCATTCCTTAGAATTCCTAGCTTAGCTGGCAAGACAGCTAAGGGCAAACAGGCCACATATATTATGTATATATATACACAGTATATGTTTTCAATATCGTTTTTCCTGAAGCCAGGCCTTTCTCATTCTCAGTGGGAGGAGGCCACTCTTTCTGCTTTTTCAGCACGACTCCTAACAAGACCAAAAGCGCTAAACCGGCAGGTCAAACAAATTCCACCACACCTCAAGACACTATCAATCTCCATGGCTATAGAAAGTTGAACACAAACACACCCAAGAAGTTGAACAGAGCTAAAACGGCTCCTTCTCGATAGGGCAAGTGCTCGTACTTGCGCAAGTGGTGAGGTGCATCCAGGGGTGCAAGAAGACCCACCCATTTCAGGTCCTCGCGGAGCAGCATCTGCAGGGACGCTGTCACCGTGGCAAGAAGTCATGTCTGTATCTCGAAGGAACGAATCTGGGGGTTGGTCAATCAACTTTTTGGTGGATTGTGACATCGAACGTCAATTCATGTCAACTGGTGGAATGTGCACGTAACTTGAACACCTGGAAGTATTCACGTGACCGGCAAGTATTCGGTCGCAAGTCTGCCAACAAGAGAGTCTATAGCGGCTCCGACGCATGAGGGGTCCAATTTCCAGGTGCAACACGGACCGGCGGACAGGTGGTGGCTAGTGGTCCCCTGTCCCACCCTTGCAGTGAAGCGAATGAGCGGACCGGGTGTGGACGGTTAAAGCACAACAAACCTGCCAACATGAACATCTGACCGTTTCATCTGTGTCTGTTTCTTCCACCCTCAAAAGGAGTTCGGTCCTCGTGCCAGGGAACCAGCTGCTTTCGAAGATACTGGGGTGTTTCCAAGTACTGCAGATTTCGCGCAAAGAAGGCCATGCCGTTGGAAATGCCCTCCTGGAGGCTGCCGTATGCTGTCATCCCTTGGCAAGCCCTTGGCCCATGTTCGTTACAGGTACGAAGCGCATGTTGACACTGTCGACATGATACTTGTTTAATGTTGGGTCTTAAATAGTAAAACCCGTCCCCCCCAGCAAACAATCAAGGGAATATGACCGCCACAAAAACCACTTGACTAATTAGGATCCGACATTATATAGAGATCAAGTAGAGAGGCCCCAACACCGCAAGGATGAACGCGTATGAACGGGGCCTCTCTCGTTGAGAACGTGTTTGGAATCAACGTCAGTCACCGTCAGTCTTTCAAGTCTGAAGGTTCCGTCTTGTGTTTCTATCCTTTTTGTGGGCGACTGGCATAAACCAATAGCCATTTTTTGGGGTGCAAACTGAAGTAAGCATAACATCCCTTTCTGAAGCTATCTGTCCAAACGACCATCCTCTCTTCCCCTTCATCTCTTTTCACTCCTGGTCGCTGGCCACAGCCTCGGAACGATCTTCAAAGATCACCACCTCGTCGATGCCGTAGATGGTCAAGGCACGGGCCACTTGGCCAACCAGCAATGCCTCACGTAGAAGTTGAAGAAACACGCAGCATGGGTGGTCACTTCTCAAACCAATGAGCTTGTTTCAATAGAGCTGGTTCTTCTATATATCTGGCATTCGTGTTTCAAAGTTCGTGCGCATCAAATGTGCTACATCCTGAGTGCAGGAAAAGGAACAACAACGTGTGATTGACCTGTTTTCCCCAAACAATCACACTCTAAACATAAGATACAACAATGATCCAACATCATCGTTGCATCTGTCACACTGGCCACATGGCCTTCAAGTCCCACTTCTGCGCGTTGTCCAAGATGGACACCGGCAGTGCCACCGAAATGGTGCGCTGGCGCCCCTTCCGGATCTTCAGCATCTTCAGTGCCGACGGCTTCGAGGTTTCACCTCGAACTGGGTTGGTGAGTAGGTGAGTGGGGGTGATGGCATGGTTGGGTGGAAGCTTTCCTGGTCTGTGTTTCTTGATGATGCTTGCTGAATGGAAACATTATGTCTTTTCTTACAAGTTGCTACCAGTCACAATTTCGCATCTACAACATGCTTGTGGCTGGACAGCTCGATGGTTGGAGAGTAAGATAGTACTGAAGATTCCTGAGTCGTCTCTTTCATCAGATCAGGTCCACCCCAGGCGGGACCACCGCCTTTGTGCCATTTTTGCTCGCTGCCCAGCTCCTGCAATGCTCAAATAAAGCTTGGAATACACGGACAACATGTTGAAAAGCTTGCAGATGCTTGCAGGCATCACTGAAGAGTTCAGATCAACATTTCAGAAACATGTCTGAACGCCACAATTCAAGCCTCCTCATCCTCTTTCTGTTTCTTCCTCTTCTTCACCATGGCACGATTTTCGTGGAGAGTTCTCTGAGAGCTGCTGGATTGGGATCTTCAACCAACTCTGGGGATTTCTCAAAGAACTTTGCCCAAAGCTTCACAGGTATTGCAGTACTGGGCGAGTTTATGGTCTGTTCCCTTTTAGCAGGAGATGGGATTTGTTTGGGGCACGCAAGCATAAATGTTTGGGTTTCTGGTGATTGGCCCTGCAATGCAACTTGAAGATTCAACAATGCTTGTGGTTGCAGCTGTCAACTCACTTTCCAAAGCAGTAAGCAGGTTCTATCAACGTGTCCGTCTTTCTTCGATGAGTTGCAGGGCTGGCAAGTGACTCTGCTCCCTGTGGTTGTGAGCAATAAGAAGCAAAATTATCCTGCCAGCAAGCCTTGCTTGAAGATTCCTTGTTGATTTCTGCAGCCCTCCAAGCATTTTTAAAGCCATTTTGGAGGTCATCAGGGATCCATGGCCATCCGGCAAAAAAGGACTTTCCAGAGATCCCCACTGCATCGTTGAGATGGTGCTGTACCTGCGGCTCAGGCGACTTGGTGGGGGGAGATCTATGAGACAGAGAAATCTGATGGAAGACAACCAAATATAATAGCAATAGTAGCAATGGCCTCCACCCTAGTAGCGATGGCCCCCACCCTGGTAGGGATGGCCTCCAACCTAAATGACAACCAGCAAATGACTGGGGAACATCTTCGACTGCAAGTGATGTGGCTGTCACTTTGAGCATCTGGCCATACTAGTACTCAGAAGAAACACATGCAAACACATTTACACGAATGGAAGTTTTAACATGTAAATCACTTGACATGGAAGTTCGAACATCACTCTTTCTCTAGTGATCCTCAAACTGAAGACAGTCGAACAACTGAACGTCTGTTCAATTTTGTTTGCAGTCATGAACATGGTAAAGCTACCCCAAAGCAGGCACCATTTTTTGGAATCCTCGGCCTCTGAAGGAACTCCTAGCAACTCTTCATCCGGCCACTCCCATCGTGTCGTTTTGGCCGCGATGGGAAACGACTCCGCCACCGTCGACGCCTCAAGACCCAGTGCAAGGGGCTGTCGGGTGGCTTCGGCGCTGGCTTGGGCTTCCGGCCTCCGATGATGGAAGAGAAAGTGGATGGAAGTGTTGTTGGTGTTGTTGTTGTTGTTCCGCTGGGGGAGGTGAGCGAATGCTAGGCTGTGTGTTGATATTGAGCAATCAATCTGTTTATGAACTGATGGTAGGGTGAATATGGTATAATGCAGCTGCAGTCACTGTATGAAAGGCGGATGTGTCCATCAACTGTGCGGCCATATGCAGCCCGAAGCGCTGGACCTGTGAGGATTGTGAAGGTTGGCAAATTTTGGCTGGATACACTCCTTGGAATAATCATGGAAGAGGAAAATTGTCATCCAAGCGGCCACGCCATCGACGTCCATGTTAATTCCAGAGAGTGTATTGGTTTGACTATTGGTTTGGTGATTGACTGGAAGGACTCGATCTGGGGCTCCGGGTTTATTGCGTCGGTAAACGGTGTTTTTTGCGACGGTGCACATGTACCGGTGTTTTTTGCGTCGGTGCTGGAACGGTGTTTTCTGCGTCGGTTGGCCGGTGTTTATTGCGACGGCCCCGGGGTTTGTCGCGTCGGCAAACAGTGTTTTCTGGGACGGTTGGTGTTTTTTGCGTCGGTAACGGGTGTTTTCGGCGTCGGCTGCCTCCTCCTCTTCCTCCTCCTTCTCCTGCTGCTGCTCCTCCTTCTCCTCCTCCTTGTTCTTCTTCTCCTCGTCCTGCTCCTCCTTCTCTTCCTCCTTTCCTCCTCCTCCTCCTCCTTCTCCTCCTCCTCCAACTCCTCCTCCTCGTCCTCCTCCTTTTCCTTGGCCTCTTCCTCCTGCTCCTCCTCCTCCTCCTGCTCCTCCTCCTCCTCCTCCTCTTCTTCGCCTCCTCCTCTTCCTCCTCCTCCTCCTTCTCCTCTCTTCTTCCGCCTGCTCCTCCTCCAGGCGCTGCGCCCTCCCCCCGATCCATCCCTCCCGCTTTTTTATTGTAGCAACTCCCGTATACGCAGTACCCACCGTAGCAACACCAACAACAACAGCAACAGCAACAGCAACAACAACAACAACAACAGCAACAGCAACAACAACAAAGGTCTTCCATGTCTGCAGTCCGGGGGGAGGCGCTGCGCGCCGTGCGATCGCCATCATCATTATCCCAAGCCCCATCCGCATCATCATCATTAACATCATTCTCATCATCTTGGTCACCATCTGCATCATCATCAGCATCATCATCATCATCATCAACATCATCATCTTCTTCTTCCTCTTCA